GATGCTTCATCTCCTGCTCTGCGTTCGTGTGGAGCCCCGTCAAAAGCCTGTCCATGATGCTAGCAGTGTCCAAGCGTTTATTTTTTCCCTTTTCATACCGCGCCCCACCTAGGGAGCGGGTCCCACGCTTTGGGAAGCTCTGCCCTAAACCAACTCGCTCTCTAAAAACTGATCTTAGATGCAGCAGACTTGTGGGGGGTTGGGCTTCACCTGGCCGAATTTTTCGATTACTTTTTGAAGTCGTCCTTGGCTGTGCATCTTTCTCCTGTTTGTGCTCTCGTTTCTAATCCAACACAACATCTGCTTCCTCCGTTTTTGTCGGAACTGTAAGCTAGCAAACAGCTGGCGGATAGATTACTGCCACCTTGTGGTGGTAGTGGTACACTACATGCACAACACAGATCGGACAGACGTCCGTAAAAACGTAAAAAAAAATTATATTTTATGACAAATTTTTTGCATAAGGTTAAGCTTTGTAAGCTATTTTATTTTTATTCAAAAACCATGAACATCCCCATTTATGGCTGATTTAGACTTCTGAGCGAATCTTTGTACAACTTCACCTTCGCCGTGTGTGTGTGTGAGTGTGAGTGAGACTTCCTGGTGTTTTCCATGCAGTTCCAGCCACGATAGAAAAAAATAATATGTCAGGACTTTTTCCCCCATTTTTTCTTGTAGTGTGTTTTTTGTTTCTTTTTCAAAGTCAAACGTGTTTGTCCCTGAAGTGTTTCCACATCTTTGGACTCACGCCTGATACTTTCAACAATCTCCCTCTCGGAAGATCTGACATTTGAAAGAGTGATGATTATTCTTTATGCTGAGACAATGATTGATATTCTCTCAGTGATTCATTCAAACCTGCGGTGAAATGGTATATGAGGAAAAAGCATAGGAGGAATCAATGTTACGGAACAGGCCGATCACAGCAGTGGCGTCGACGTGGCGTGCTGTTACACTTTCATCAAAGCGCCCGTCAGGGTTTTAGAGGCGTTTCTGGTTACGATGTATGCACAGCACAGATCGCTACACTTGCTGTTACTGCGTGTGTGTAATTGTTTGTGTGAGATAACAGCGAGTGGTAGGCCACGGACATTCGCTGTTTTGGCGATAACCTCGCACTGGGGCAAAGTGGTTTGGATGAGAACCATCAACTCCAAGTCTGAGCTGATGGTTCTTAGCTGGAAAAGGGTGGCGTGACCACATTCACTTGAATATATTACCCAGAAACCCACAATGGTTTGTGATGGTCTCCGTGTGTGTACATTACCTTAATGAAACTGTACAAACATTGTTTACGTGTTTCATCTTCAGTCTTTTATTAAGTGTTTATTGATGTTTCTATCAGACTTCTTTCAGGTGTATTAATTAATCATTCTCAGTAATGAGATCAGTGAAGATTTCCTGGACAAAGATGAATGCAGCAAACTGATGGATTAGCAGATTAAAAATTAATAATAAGACCTGTGGAAACACTTCAATCAGTCTCAGCCAATCTGAAAAAACATTGTTCAGCCACCTGTGAAACTTCCAGGCTGTTCTTTCTTTCTGCTGTTATTGGTCTAAACAGTCAAGTCGGTGAAGATGAAAATCACCCACCCTGTGTGTGTTTGAATCAGTAATTTAAAGGATATTTTATAGAACTGAACCCTCCCCCCGTGGAAACTGTCCATGTAGCATGTTGGTGTGGACCGTTACCTTCTGCAGGTGCATGTTCTTGGTGAGCTGCTCCTCCAACATGTGCTGCAGCTTCTTGTTCATCTCCCTCAGATTCTCGTCTCCTGGTTTCACCAGCTCTCTTAGGACCGAACCCAGACCTCCCCGGTCTCCCTGAGAGCCTCCGTGACCTCCGACCGTGCTCCCCGACACATCTGAGCAAAGCAAAGACGCGAGATTCAACAGAGATTCGTTTTAAAAGAAACACGCTGGTCAAACGGCC